TCTGTTATCATTGGTATATATATAGAAAGACTGCTTTATCACTGGCATGAAAAAAGCCACTACTTAGCAACTGATACAGTAACAGAACTGTAATTTGATTAATAGATTTATAAAATTCTTGATATGAGTAGAAAGAGAGCTGTATGTAATGAAAAAATTACTTTTGATTGTTGCATTGAGAGACTTTAGTCTCAATACATGTGTATAGACGTATTATAAGCTGAATACCCACAGCTATTTTAGAATTGGTGAAGAAAGCAACTGTTTTTAGTTAAGCATTTGAAGGTTTTTCTAAAAGGTGGTTGATGCTCAGGGAAGGCTACATTGTGTTTGGATTAGAACAAAACCCAAAACCTATAATTAATTCTGCTGGAAATCTTGTATTGAGAATCCAAGTTTTTAAAAAAATGGTGAATATATCAAACATGCAATTATAAGTAATAATATTTGTGTACATTAAAATATTACAACAGAAAAAAAATAATTTTATCATAAAAGGTTACTCATTTAATTTCTCTTTACGTACCTGTCAATTTCGTTAAGTTTTTCTTAATATTTGAGTGTTTGTGTTCATCAGTAATTTTATCTGTGAATTTAAAAACTTTTGAAAGTCATGAAAGAGGTGCTACTTGTTTTGTTTAGCGTTGGCTACAATGTTCTCTTAGCCAAAAAATGAGCCAAAATCACAGCTAGTTTTCAAGTTAACATACTTGAAAATGTATTTGTTTTAAATCAATTTTGAACTATTTTTACTTTATTTTAGTCAATGTTTAAAATTCGACATGAGCTAAGTTCTTTGTAATAAAAGAATTACTGAGCTTTTGTGCAAAATAAGTTATACCACTAAATTGAGTGGCTTTTATGCATTAGATAGTTATTATATTATGTTTTGGTGTATGAATTCTTGATTGATAATGAAACATAATAATCTGGCTACAAACTTGTATATTTTGTAATCTAGTTAGAATTGTATAATGATAAAGTGTGCATGAAAACATTTGGTGTCATTTTTTAAGAATAAAAGAAACAAGTTAAACAAATGTAAAAATCTTTAGAACCTAGGTATATCTAATATTTTAATTTTTTTATCATATATATATCATTAATTTCAAAGTAATTTTAATGAGATGTATTATTGTTATAATGGGTTATTAAAAGTTAATGCAAGATTTATTATTAATCTGGTGAGTAGGCAGACATTTGAGTCGGTGTACATGTGGGTAGTGAAAACTGACACACCCTGTGCAGTCTTTAAAGGGGGTCATTTAGAATAATCTATCATAAACTTGTATCTGCTGTTATGATTTTGTTAGACCAAACCCTTCTTTCAATGAATAACAAAATATCAGGTACTTTTTTTTTTCCTTTCAATCTTAAATTATATTCTTTCTTATAGCTCTAGGTTTCGTAAAGCCCAGCCTCCACAGAGTTTGAATCTGAGAAACAAAATTTGTGTTCGGACTCCTCAAGTTGAAAAAGTAGCAAACAAGATGGCTTCATTAGAATCAATTGGTGCTTGCTCTCTTGATATGGATGCCACAGGTAGTGAGTCTTCTGGGGCAGCTGATATGAAGGGTAATATGGCTCAGTCTGACCATACTTTAAACAGCATGAACGTAGCGGTGTCAGTGTCATCAGGTACAATTCATAAAGGAAGAGGAGTCACAGAGGCAGTCTGTCCAGTAGGGGATCAACTGAAGAGGTTGACAGCTCAGACATTTTTATTTATGTATAAATATCTGTCAGTGTTTATATCTATCTTTCTCTATTTCACTTGTCTCTCATTCTGACCTCACTGCTAAAGTTTTAGTAAATTTTTATAATCTGTGTATAAAGTGTGCAGTCTGAATACAGTTGGAGAAAAAGACAGTTATTGAAAAAAGACCTTGTGATGCAAGAACTTGAAACTTGAAGTGACTTCTTTGAGGTTGTGTAGTCTGGTTTTGAATTAAGAAATTTTAAGGTTTTAAATTTCAGTAACAGTTTGTGCTAAAAAGAGCTGTCATAAATCTCCAGTAGTTGTGTACGATAAGATTTATTTTTGTAGTAACATACCTGTCATTACAACAAAGCCATGTTAATGATTGATTACTGTATGTAAAGTTAATTTATAATATACACTTAGAAAAAAAAAAATGTATTAATAGTGGGGATATTTTACTTCATTATATTTTAATACAATAATGGTTACTAGACTATGTGTTAGTGCTTAATCATTTCAGTATTGTTTGCAATTCTCACGTCCTTTACAATTCTAGAAGTGAATGCTCTGTGTGTGTGTGAGTGTGTCTATAATGATTCAAGTAGTTTTGTTCAACACATTTAGTAGATATCACATGTATTTCACACTTGCACAAAAAGCATGTGGTTACGTAAAATGTAAATTATCCTAAACTCTGTTTTTCAAATTGATAGAAGTGATTAGAAAGTTTCCAAAACATTTGTATGTTTGGTCATAAATTGTAAATGTAAGAAACAATGAAAATGATTGAATCTTAGCTTTTATGCGTATATTTCTAGTTGTCGTTGTAGTTTAACTGTAAATTGCAATTATAAAATGGAACTAAGAACCTAATTAAAAAAAAACATCACTATGATATCAGAAATGCAATTTATAAAACTTTTATACTATTAAACTTTTTACAATTTTTCTTTCTTATAGCTCAAAGTTATTAAACTGTCACACTAAATGATTCCTTATAGCTTACAAAAGAGAAGGTAATTAAGACTTTTATATTAATTTTAAATCAATTGCTTTGAATTTAATGTTTTGCATCAATATAAATTAATAGCTGGAAAAGTCTTAATAGGATCATTACTCTGGAGAGAACTAGAATAGTGAGTCAAAAGTTCATTGTATGAAAGCAACAATATTTTCATTATAAGTTTTGTACATTGCACAGTCATTACAGTTGACTGCTTTTTACTTTATTATAAGAAATGTAAAAAAAAAAGTATTTGCATGCTTGCAACAAACAACAAGAAGTTAGAATGATTACATATTTACTTTAGTTTTAGTCATTAAGAAAAGGAAAGCTATGAAGTTTGTTTAGGAGAAAACATTTTTCCACCATATTTAGTTAATGTTGCAGGACAAGTTGTTGAATGGACTGGTAACTATGTAATGACTGTTATGTTTTTAAGACCATCAATACCAACAATATTTCTTTGTAAAGGATAGCACTGTGAGAATCTTATTTCTGTAATGAACAGTTTTTGTAATTTTAATTCTGTAAATCTTAGCATTGTTAGAAAGAAAAAAAGGCCCAATTTATAATTTGTGTATTTTAACACCTTTTATAGCAGATGAGATTTTTGAACAATTTCAATGCATTAATGTGTCATATTTATACATTGTCAAACTTTTTATAAAAGACATTTTCAAAAATGTACTTTTAAAGTGTGTGGTATTAGCTAAAATGCAGGTTGTTTTAAAAATTTTTTGTATTTATTTTGTTACTGCATTATTTGTTTGTTGAGTTATAAAGTTTCAAAGGTAATGTATAGCAGACAAATATCAGTGCACAGTATAGATAAGTGTTGATGATAAATGCTTTTAGTGACCCTTATGATAATTGACTGCAAAGTAGCAAGTTTAAAATACTGTTTTAGCATTGCATTATTTTAATAAGTAAGAGTTTTTAATTTTGCTGTAAACACTTAAATAATCATAGTAAGTGGTTTTAGTCTTTTCATTGAATTGTTTTAGTTAACTTTGAAAGAGATTCTATATTTTGTGCTTGTGAAAAAATGGTGTGCAGTTCAGGTGTGACAAAAGTTAGTGTTTTGAAGAAACTCAAATATAATTTCTTGGAAGCATCTTAATTTAAGATCACTTCATCAGTGCAGAAAATGTGAATACAGAGATTAAGTTTCCATAAATAGAAATGCAAATCAAACATAACTTTGTTGTGTGAAAAAAGTAATTTGATAATTTAATGTAGCAGTTGGAATCAAGTTATTTTATGGTGAGTAATCTGTGGAAGTGTGTTTGATATGAAAGAATTTCTTTCTGTACAGTGTAACCCTGTTTTGTACTTGACAAGCTGTTGAGTAATCTTGGTGAATTTCCCATCCAATACTTTTGGTAGCCAATTGTTTGTGTGTGTGTGTCATTTTAATTTTGTTAGCTACATAACGAAACTAAGAGAATAAAGAATTAAGTATTTTCTAAACATTTATTGATGATAAGATTATCTACCATATTTTTGTTTTCTACTGAGTGAATGAGTGGTTAAACTACATTCTGAAGTACAATTTAAAATTGAAATAGGGTGCTAGAAGTAAGTTACTCTATAATGTCTATACATTTTTAGTTTTGTTTATTTCTCATTATTTGCCTTTGTAAGTTTTCATTTCATCTTTCAAGAACATAAAACGTACAGTGAGGTAGTGCTTTCTACTTTGTGTTTTGAAATTACTCATAGGATTTCTAAATTTGTTAAAGTGTATTTGGTATTTTTTCATTAACGTTTTTGTTTGTGTACTTCCTTAATACTTATTAAACGAATAGTTAATATCCTGTTCTTACAGTATTATTTTCATTAAATACAACTCCTTGTTTAAGACAGTATGATATTTTTGTAACTTGCATGGAAGTACTTTTGTAAAGCATTATTTATAATGAATGAGTTGTTGAAGGTGGTTAGTTTTTTCAGTTTGTTTCCAAATTAATATTTATTTAGTAATAAAAATTCCCATTTTTTATCCATAATATTTTGCAGTCATGGTATTTGTTGTGCTTTATTGTTCAAGTCTAGCCTATTGCTTAATCTTGAAGATTTGTGTTTTAAGAAGAATTTCTAAGTCAAGCATTGCAGAAAAAAAAAGGCATTGTAATTTTATGCTGCTCTGTCAGGTTTTTGTATTATCTCGTTACATTGTTGTGATATAACTTTCAAACAAACTAACCAAGTGTAAATGTAAATTTGGTTTGAGTATCTTGAAAAGATGCATGCAGGGTGCTGTGCTAATATTCATTTTTAAAAGTCTTAGCAATAGTTACTGGATAAAGTAAATAGTTTTATAGCTTGTTTGAAATCTGGTCAACTTCATTCATGTAACATATAAAGGAAGATTCAGGGCATGATTTTTTAATTTTTGTCAGAATGCACTGAAGTTGTATTTGGAGTATGCCATAATAATACTTGTGGGGATGACATAAAGTAGTCTGACCTGATTGTTAGGTTGCTTCAGTTTGGAATTTATATAGTTCAGTATCAAAATCTTACATTTTATAACAAAGGTAATTGATGTTTTAATTGACAAATTGAAATCAAGTTTGCATCTGGGATCACTTGCAGATTTTTTTTTTTTTTAATTGTAGATTTGACGTGGAAAAAAATAAAGTAAATAATTTTTTTTTCTTCCAGTGATACACCTTTCTTAGTCAATAGTAAATGGGAAGAGACTAGTCCAAAATTGCCATCTTACGTGGGCATCAGCTGTGCCATCAATGGTTATACAAATTATAGTCGTTTCTGTCACAGTCGTGATAATAGCCCTGCTCGAGTATTGGACAGTGCTCTGAGCCCCTGGAAATGTCCCAGAGGAAATAGTTTTTCCCAAATTGAAACTAAAGAAACTGTACCTTTGCCAATCTCTTTTGCTTTAAACATGCAGAGTGACAATAGGAATAATGTACTTGTATATGAAACTCACATTTCTTCTTCAGAAACATTTGTTGTACAAAATGGTGAGAAAACACCTGCATCCTATAAATCAACAGAAGATGCTGTTATAAGAACTGGTGAGAAGCCATATCAAGTAAGCTCATCTTCAGGTGTTAGTGTCAATGGTCATTCTTCAGATGTAGCATCCAGATCCTTTGTTCGTCAAAGAATTGAAAAATTGTATGGAAATACAGCTCTTGAGGGTTGGATTGGTAATCGAGGCAGATCTAGGATTCAGAAATCTTCAGGAACTCCAACAGAATTTAATATTCAAAAAAGCCCAAGAAGCCCTTCTTGTCCCCCTCAGACCACAAGAGGTCGCTCAAGTAAGTCAGGTTATTATTGAAGAACATTACAACTTGGATTCATATTTAGTATTCTCAGTCTTTACCCTGAAGAATTTGAGTAGGTATTAGTTTTGAAGTTAAGCTGTTATATATCAGTGAAGGATTTAGATTCCTTGCCAGTTCTTTATTATGAGTTTGAAGAATGAATTTGTGAACACAAAATACTTGATTTTTGTTGGTTTTTTCACAGAATTGTTTTAGTGTAAGAGTTAGTATGCTACATTTTTATAAATGACTATTCCTCAAAGTATAATGCTCTTCATGTGGTAAGGACTGAAGAGATGTTTTACAATGTTTGTGGAAAATCAGGATTACCAACAAAGGGTGAAATAACATTTATTTGTCATTTTTATAGCACACAACTATTCTATTAATTGATTTCAGTGTTGCTCAGTGACATTATTAACGTTACACAGTCATATTTCCTCCAACCATATTTGATAAAACTTTCATAATTTTTTCAACTGTCAGTGATATTTTAACCTCACAACTTGTTTATACGTCAATTTTTTTCCAGAGTCCCCCCCAGTTTTTCGTCATTTGACTAAAGACTTCAAAGAGCAACTTCAAATTGAAACTGAGGAAAGTTCATTGTCACCATTACTAAACATTGCACTCCAACCACACGAAGGGTATGTAAAGAAACAAGTAATATCACATGAAGCACAAAATTCTGAAAATAAAGCTCTTGGAGAGCTCTACATAGGAAAAGATGGCTCATCTGTATCAAAATCTTTAGAACCTACTAAGTCTTCTGTTTATTTACAAAACAAGTGCCAATCCTCCTGTGTAACTTCTCATCCTTTGTCTACCCAGAAGCTTTATGAACACTTAGAAGGTAGGTAGGTTTATACTCATTTACTACAGAACTGCAGATATAAAAAAAAAAAAAAAAAAAAAAAAAAGAAGCGGTTAATTTTCGTTCCTTCTCTTATTTGCCATTGGTTTATCAAACAAAATTTTCTAAAAGAATAAAGTTAAAAAATTTTTTCAAGTGATAGAATTTTTTTTTTTAATTAATGCAAGAGTATGTCAACCTTCTTGCATCTTTAACTTGTTATTCCATTATTTCTAAAGTTTCAACATCACTTCTGAGTCAAAATGCAAATGAATACTAATGTACCCAATAAACTATTTATCAGTATATAGTGGCATTCATAACAATTTTAAGAAAGCCTTAGAAAGGATGTTTTTAGTTCTATAAAGCTAAGCCTAATCTATTAAATATGAATTGTAGTTTTCTGAAACTACAAATTCAGTGAAATGTAAAATACTTTGACATAAGATGTTAAACTATATTCAGCCAATAAAGTCTGAGTTTCATTTATTTTCTTAATGTTCAAAGGCTTGAACTTAAATTAATTTCGATAGCTTGAACAAGAGACTCATCACAAGTAGTTTTTCTCAATATTGGATCACAAAGGTTTAAAGCTGTATTCTCCAATTCTAGAATAATTGCACCAAAATTTTTATTTACTGTAATAAAAGACAATTTATTTCTATCTTTGTGAGAACTTTTAATCAGAATAATAAAAAAACATTATAGAAAATACAGAATAAAAAAAAGTAAGGTATTGTGTTGTAACATGTTATACTATTATTTTTTATAAGGTGTTTCCTCTGGCAAACTTTAAAGAATATATTTTTTTGTTCTATTAACTCTTTCAGCACATGTTTGGTCCTTAGGACCAACCTCATAATGATTTTTGTGCTTGTTATAGTTTTCATGCTATAACTTTTAAATTAGTAAGTGTATGTTAATGAAATTTAGCAGATTATCAGTAAACATTAAAATGCTTTAATACATCAAATATACAAATTTTTTTTTATTAAGTCCCCCCCCCCCCCCAATGTTGCCTATCCAATATGCAAAGTAATGTTAGTTTTGAGATTAAAAATACTTCTATGCATCAGAAAATTGATTCGGAGATCAACAGGGGTTAATAACAGGCATGGCTTGAGAAGTGGATTTCTGGGTAAGGTGAGGGGTTTGAGAAGTTGGGGCTAGACATTGAAAGTTGAAAGTAAAACTTGAATGTTCTCTTGGTGCTTATTCAGTTAAATGTAATCAATTTTGTTTTTGTTTTTAATTTTTGTGTATATTTTTGGGGGAAAGGGGGTAGAGAACTTGGTCCTGGTTGACACCTGGCTTCATCCGAAGCTTAGTGACCAGGTACCCAGACCCAATATTCGGCCAAATATTTTACTACCTGTGCATCCATAGTTGTTACCATTCAGTTATTTCTTCAATGGATTTAGATAATTCTTCAAATTTCTGACTAATGGGAATATGCTAAAAGTCCCGTATATGTCTGTGTGCAATATAGAGAAAATTAGGACTAAATGTTTATTTTAATATTTTGTTTATTATAAAGATTGTTTGAATTTTTAATGATTTAGTTTTTTCTTTATCCATCCAAGTTGAGAAGACTTACTGAATTATTCTCACCAAGTGACCTTTGCATAAACTCCAAAATACTTTACTTAATAACTAATGAATCATCAGAATCTATATAATCACTTGAGACTAACTTTTTACCTTCTGTAAAAGCACTATTTATAGCACTATTTATCAATCAGAATTTTAGTATGATGATTTAATGTGAAATACAAATGAAAGATTTTTGTTTAAAAAATACTATTTGTTTATCATTGGGTATCAAAAGTTCATTAAACATTAGTTTAGAAAACTGATCATGTAGAATGACAAATATTGAAATATGAAATAAATGGAAAAGCTGCAAAACTTGTTCTTAAGTGGCATAGTTTGACAGTATATAATTATTGTTGTTGCTGATTAGAAAAACGTTCTAAAAGCATTATAGTATTGGTTATGATGTAGTTTATTTCTATGTATATTTAATGCTTAGGCAAGACATTGTGTCATTGGTGAGCCTATCCACTGAGCAAAGTGTGTTTTCTGTTGTAAACTAATATGTATTCACATAACATTTTTATTTGTTTGTATTAATAGTTTAACATTATTCTTTAAAAAATTTTTGTAACCATTCAAATGATAAAGCCAAAACCTTGAGATTGATTATTTTTATTATATAACTTTCAGTCAGTTCATCTGTTTCACCAAACATTCCTATACTAGAAAATCCAACACCAGCAAAGCTGGAGCAGCTAGAATCTCATGATGGTGAATGGTTTCTTGCTGTCATGGAGCAAACAAAACAACAAATTTTATTTCGTATGACAGAAGCTGAACATTATCTAGAAGAGGATGGCATTCCAGAAGATGGGGCAGGGAGGATTCGGGCAGCTGTGGGGAAAGCTAACCTTCTACTTTCACAGAAATTTGAACAGTTTAGGGAGTTGTGTGAAAAGAACTTAGTGAGTTGATAAACCCAAAACAACGTAACATAAAATTTGATGAGACTGAAAAACTTGTTTTGTTTATAATATTCAAAGTGTTATGTAAAGTTGTAGCACTAATAATGAGTCTTAATTTAGTGGAAAATAATAATGAAATTACAAGTAATATAGTTTTTAAGACACATGGTTAGACTTTTTACAATGTTAGTTTCTTTTCATTGTTTAGTTGAATTTTTGTGCTTGCAAGTAATTTTGGACATTTGAAATAATTGATACAGCAAAGAGATTGCACAAGATAAATTTTACCAATAAAGCTAATTAAAAAAAAAAGTTAATTTATTTCAAGGATATAACACTTATTGATGAAAAACCTACGTTTTTCATAAAATTCTGATTGAATTTCTTCAACATAATTGTCTTTTATTAAAAATAAATAAATTTAGACTGATTCCTACCAGCTATAGCATTTTGTATATTTTAATGGTATTAAAATGTGTTTTCTGTCTCTAATTGATAATTGCAACAGCATGTAGAAAGAACATGACTTGATTTTACATATTTTATTTATGTTTGTAAAATAAATATACATAAAGGTCAGTAAATAAAGTTTCTATAATTTAGGTTAAAGAATATATTAGGAATGCCAAGAAATTCTAACACATCATGATGATATTGCTATAACTTGTCACATCAACATGATCATATTGTGAAAGCTAGGATTATTTTCATATATTCTTATATTGTAAAATATTAAAAAAAGCTATGAGTGAATGTCATATTGTATCTTACAGAATCAAGACATTACAGAGCCTTTCTCCACTACATTGTCCGACTTGAGTGGATTTTGGGATATGGTGATGCTGCAAGTTAATGATGTGTTTGATACGTTTGCTAATTTAGATAAACTACGTGCTAATAAGTGGGTAGAATTGGAGCTTCCAAAGGTTAGTCTGTTTAAAAAAAAAAAACTCTTTTCATAACTCGTTTTATTAGATGTCTTCCATCATACATAAAACAATTAGCTACTTTCCAAAATATATAAATGAGGAAATTTTATTTGCTTTAGAAAATAAACATACACATACAAACCTATTCAAAGTTGTAAATATTGAATCTTACTATTTTTGACTTTGGATTCCCTGTTTAAGTATATTGGACTACATTTTACTACAACATGTGATAAAGAACAACTTCATTACTCCAATGTAGATACGAATATGTTTAATGCTTTATAGATTTATTGGCTTTTGTTTCACATTTTATTGCCACAAAAGGTTAAATAAGCATCTGTTATTTGATAGCACATTTAAATTCTCATACAGTTGTAGAAAAAAATAAACAGAACAGTTTGACTTTATACATCAACATATTTAAATTTGAAGCTGATATAGTTAGAGATAAGAAATTACCAAATAAAAAAAAAAAAAAGACATAAATGTTTTCCCATTTAAAATTCCAAAAAATTTTAGTTGATATTTTTTACCACTAGCCTGCTACTCAGTCACGCACTAAACGAGCCACAAAACATGGTGTGTCAAAGTCAACTCCTGCAAGTCCCCAACGCTCATCAAAAGCTATTGAAGCAGCACGTGCCAGAGAAGAATCCAGGAGACGATTAATAGAGGCCAAACGCAAAGGACAATATCATCACACTTCTAGTGAAAAACCTAGTGAAATATCTATATTTGTTTCCAAGGGTAAAAATTAATCTCATTCAAGTTCTGAAGTACAGTTTCTGTTTGTATTGTTAAATATCATTAAGATTTTTCATTGTATTATAAGGTTGCTTAGTTGTTTTACAGACATTTACTCAAACTTGATACTCATGGTGAAATATTTAAGTAAACATATCATTTATTATATTAGTTACAGCAGATTATAAATAACAGTACCACCATTTTAAAAATTTGTTTTTATAAAGATATTTGACAGTAAGAAAATAGAAACCTAATGTGTATGAATTTTGCATAATAATAATAATAATAATTCAAGTAAAAAATGTATTTACCTAAACTTGTAATAACTGTAATTTAGTCTGTTTAAGCTTATTATGTTATAGGCAAGTATACTTCTGTAAGAAATTGCTTATGTAGATAAATATGGCTATAAAACCTAAAATATATAAAGCCAAAGTTTTGTAACTTTGTCAGATGTCTGTGATGTATATGTACAGTTTGGGCATAATTTACAAATTAATAAAGTAAAACAGTATACTTTTTTTTAAGCAAAATTTTATTTTGTACATATGTTTCATGGAAAACAAGTTTAATTCAAAAACTGAAGTCATAGCTGTCTGTATAATTATTTTACTTAATTAAATTAATTTTTACTGGATATCTAATGTTATAATGAGCCACCTAAATGTGATTTTAGTTTATGCTTTTATGCACAAATGATTAAACCTGTTTACTGAGAGTATTTTTACATTTAGTTGCATTTTTAGAAAATATATGTATAAAAGTTGTCGCAAGTCAATGGTAAAATTGTTTTTTAAATAATGATTGTTCTGTGTGTGCTTTATTTTTTCACATTTAGTTTTTCATGTTATATAATAAAATGTATTTAAATTTTATTGATTATGTAATACTTTTTATTTATCTGTTTAATTTTGAATTTCAAGTGTAAATTTTTGTTAATGTAATATTTTCAAATGACAAGAATATATCATTTTATAATGCATTACAAGGGTGCTTCTTAATTCTTAGGCATGAATAAAGATATGTTCACTTTAGATCATCATTTTTAAACACATTTAAAAAAGTTCTATGCACTTTCAAAACTTCTTATCTCTAATGTTTCCAAATAATTGATTGAGGGATTCAAGATGTCAGTCAACATATGTATGTAGCTGCAATTTAAATACATTGGTCATTATTTACCTATAAATATTTTTACTTGTGACCTGTATTTGTTCCCCCGGTAGGCTTACAGAATTAGAACATTAAAATCCAAGGTTTGATTCCCTGCAGCAGACAGATTGTGGATAATATAGAAAAAGATGAATTCAGTTGGAAGAATAAAAGGACTTCATTTACAATTTATTGGATTCTGTCAATGTGCAAAGACTACCTAAACTATAGAGAAATAGCATTTTTTCTGATTATGACTCAACATTTTCCAAAGCAGTTTTGCTTCCAGTTAAGAAATAATTTATTTTCAGTAAACAGCAAACGTTAGTTTTTGTATTCAACAAACTGAATTTAAGAACTTTGAAATGTTTGACTTTAATATTAAAATGGACATTCTACAGAAAGTACATTTTAAATCTCACCTGCCTTTTTTGTTGAGTGTATAAGAACTTGCTTTAATGTGCAACAACTGTTCAAGATGACAAATGTCAAGAAATTTTAAGATGTACTTATACGTGATCTAAAACATATCTGAGATAAAAGGATAGTAATGGTAATAGCTTGAATTTGTTTTTCAAATTTATTATCTTTCTATTTTAATTCATTTATGAACAAACTGGATTCAAAATATCTGTTTGATCTGAATACCCTTGAACCTGTATCTTTTGACATCTAAAATCTACATTGCAAGATAACTTTAGTTTAAATACAGACATCAGGTAGGGCTTTTAGTACAGCTGAAACTAGGCAAGAGCCCAAAATATGAATTACTTGTACATAAGAAGAGATTCAGGCAATGTTCCCTTTGAATTTTCTTTATATTAAAGTTGGCTACAAATCCAGTGAGCATTACTATTTTGTTTTTGGACAAGCTTGCATTTTCTTCTTACACTAAATTAACTCTCTGCTATGTTGCTACAGTTTTGCACATGCATTGAAAAGACTCATTTCTGTCTGTGTGGTTGCTTTTCCTGCTCCAGGAAAAATAAGACTATCTTTGTGGTTTGCTTGTGTAAATAAAGTCGGTTCAAGTAAGAATAAATAATAAAATAGTTGGTGTTAAAATAGATAAAGAATATTGTTATTAATCCTTACCCCAAGTATGATTTGTAAATGACTTGTGTAAAATTCATAAAAATTACATTAAACTAACTTAAGTTAGTTCACATAATAACAGTCCTTGTTGATGCAATTGTTAATATAAATAGCATCACAACATTGTTAGCTTTGTGTCTGTTGTATCCAGTTGGTCTCGCAAGCCCTGATATTGGACAAAAGGTCTTGTTGGTACTAGACATTGCAGATATTGTGTGGTTGACGTATTGTTATACATCCTTCACTCTTAAGTTCTTAGAATTGGAAAATATAGAAATACATTCTACAGCTGCAAAGTGGCTAGATTTTATTGTGACACTAAATAAAGAAAAATTACTTGCATATTTTTCAGATAGTATATTTACCAAACTGAAAATCCTGTTATTAAAACTCCAAATATTTTGCTTTTCTACATTCAGAAAAGTAAATGCAAAGCAATGCATATTTTTAAATTCTCCAAAAAAAAAATATATTCTAAGCTAACGGGTCAGGAGATTTTGCTCACCAATCTATTCTGTCAATTTTTTCCTATTTAATATCGGCAGCGATTATACTTGGTCAATGTAAGCATATGTTGTCACCAACCACAAAGAAATTGGACCCAAATGTACCAACGTAATGTCTTGCTATAGGATGGAGAATCTCATCTTGGTAACTAACTTCGGTGTAGATATAATTATGGACAACATGGAGGTCTGTTCTTCCCCGTATGTTGTTTCCATTCCAAACCATGACAATCCTCTTTCATATCTATCATATTCTGCAAGATGCTGTGGCAAAAAGCATATATCAAGTTGTCAATATAATCAAGAGATAATTTGGATTCATCAGTGAAGAGGACTGGTATCTAATGATTAATCATCCAACTGAAGTTATCTCTAGCCCATTAAAATGAACCTGCGTGTATTGGGATGTCACAGTTACACGAAGTAATGCTTTTCTAGATAAATTTTAATCCCTGTGACGTTACAGTTATTTCTCAAATAGTCTTTCTGACAAGTTGTTGCTGTGATTAAATTTGAATATGGCACTCTTCCCAAAGATTGCAATTATTATGCACATCAAATAGATTATATGTAAAAACTGGAATGTGCCATTAGGAAATATAAAATACATTAAAAATAATTAGTAAAATAGAGTAATTGATTCAAAGTAACTAAAGTTTTGCACAAATACTTAGTATTGTTAAAGAAATGTTTACAATAACTGTTTTTAAATATGCTCATATATCAAACAAATTTTTTAATGTCATGAAACATAATTAGATTTTTATTCTCTATACCTGATGCAAAGTAGTTTACCTAAACATTAGGTACTTAATTTTAAATTTTTTTGTAACTTTATATGGCTTGGCTTTCACATGATATAAATGGTGTCTAGACCACTAATATGTCTTTCATTTCCCAGCAAACCTGATGAGCCCTGGTATTGGGCAAAAGGTTTCATTGGATATGGTGGCAGATGTTGTGTTTGATGCATTGTAACTATTTTTCTTTGCTCTCACTCATAAAGCCCCCCAGTGGCACAGCAGCATGTCTGTGGACTTACAAGATAGCCCATTGTGTAGCTTTGTGCTTAATTACGAACAAACACTCATAAATTTTTAGAGGAAACATGAAGTTGCAGAGATAATTTTACAGGTCTTTTGTATAAATTTAAGCCAAAAACACATGAACTTGATAGCACTACAATAACCAAGAAACCCTTTTCAGCCTGAGGGCATAATTTTTGACACTTTTGTACTTGCATTTATAAAAATAAATAGCTGAAATGAAACTATATTTGAAATATAAACATTTCAAACGTAAATCATGTTAACTATTGGATATTTTTGGTAAATTTTAAATTCATAGCGACATAAAATCCATGAGACATAACTGTATATTCATTATTATGCACCACGCCTATAGCCATGGGTCTAAAAGCAAAGTTTCACACATGCTTGATAGAAAAATGCAATCGCACGCCTAATGACATCAAGCACTAACTCGCTGCGCTGGTGTAAATTTTGCAATAAAATTTATACCATTAATATAAACAGATAATATTTATTATCGTAATAAGTGGTCATTAAGCATAGTCATTTGGGTCGGCTTTGCACCAGTTTCAAATAAATTTATTTATTACCAGGTTTTGCAGTCGTGGGTTAAGCACACAAGCTACCAACTCGAGGAAGTTATATTCAGAATAAAGACATTCACTTGGAGACTGGTTAACACGGAATGTATGAATACAAGCCACTTAACTTCAGTTTTCTCACACACGTTCTTACACTTGTTGCTCCCTGTTATGAATTCCGTTATTTGTTTTTATAAACTTTACTTCCTCTTACGCCCCCCAGTGGCACAGCGGTATGTCTGCGGACTTACAACGCTATAAAACTGGTTTCGATACCCGTGGAGGGCAAAGCACAGATAGCTGTTGTGTAGCTTTGTGCATGATTCAAACAAACAAACTTTCTCTCACTACCATGGTGTGTGAAATCATAAACGCCCTTTGTTTTACCAGCTAAATGAGCAACTATTAGTTTCTACTTCTTGTCTTACAACCTAGAATATCTGTCTAATTGAATTATATACACTTCATTGCTTTCTTCCATTTCATATTTAATAACCTTGTTGGTTTAATGGTTTTCCAACCATATTTGGTTCTAGAACTTTTCGTAAATCGTTTTTGTTGTCCAGCTCCTTTAGTATATTCGTTAATATTTCTAGTAAATATTCGAACTTGTATAATTTCCAAAACATTTATTATTCAGTGAATGTTTTATTTCTCCCCTTAATCTTTCTTATCACAATCTCAGTGTTTCTACCTCTATCAGAGTGTCTAACGAAGTTTACATGATTAAGAATTCTAATATTCTGTACAATATCTTATTACTTTACTCAACGCCAACTCTAACGTTATCTTACCCTTAAATGCACAGAATACAATATCATAATGATTATTCCAATCGATCGCATATATTACACGGCTCATTCTTTTATTCTGTTATCATGTATAAATCAACACATGTCCATTTTATCCATTAAATAAACGACACAGTAATACTAGATACAAAATATTTTATAATAAAACCACTTTAATGCCATTATATCGTTTTACTAAAGTTTATAATATGTATATATATCATTAAATATATGGAAGCTCATTTCCATGTGACATACAACATAATAAAATATGAATGATTAAGCCCTTGCAACGTAGCTAATTATCATAAAACTTTTAATAATAGGTTATATAAAACAATATTCTCTTTTAGCACGATATAGGTTATGACTGCACATTATCACTTAAATAAACAATACATATCTAATATTATTACTTTTATATATTCAATATAACATAAATTACTTTGCAAACACATATGATATACTTCGCTCAATAGTCAAACACATAATAGCA